CTCTCATTGTGTGCTAACAAAACTATTACAACCATGCCAATTGAGAATCTGCATGATACAAACTAATGATGTATGACTAATTCTTCGCAAGGCAAAATCAATAAGCATTCCACATGTAGTATCTATATGTATAATATCAAAGCAATCAGACTTGCAGTTTTTAACAAAAATTCCAAAATATCACTTTTTACCAAAAATATTCACCAAAATTAGAGAATTGAAGATATCATCAAGAAATGAATAAATCTAAGAGAGGTCTACCCAAGGTACATACACACGAAGTATCAAAGCATGCATGGCACAGTCCCCGCTAGTTATTGAGTTTGTTTATAGTGATATAGCTGGAATATAAACATGTCAGGAATATGATTATGATGATTGACATTTGTATCTGATCATCCAACGAGTATTGAGAGATATTGCTCTGGAGCAGCATTAATTAAAACAAAATTTGAATACATGTATATTTAAAATTTGAACATAATCAGTCACAGCAAGTCAGAGATACATGTATGGCACTAGAACCACATTCATTAAACCAAAATGGCTGCCAGTCGGCCATTTAGAATCTTATCTGACAACAAAATGATGTGCATCAAGGTCCTATAATGTTCAACGTATATACTAAGTTTGAACGAAATCCATCTGTAAACAGCCGTGAAATGCTTGATTTAGGTGAGGGTTCACCGAACATAGTTCATACCCACCATAGACTCCGGTCAGTCAAAATGACTACTTTGAACTGTAGGCATTAATCAGCGATTCTGCCGGTGACGGAGTGATAGAATCTAGGTCAGGGGAAGCCTCATGACCCCAAGATTCTCTTTCCCTTACGCCACGAACCACGTGACCGAGGCCATATGGCAGCGCCATAGACTGCTGTACAAATCACTCTGGTTCTTTTCTCTCCGCATCAAGGACTTAGACCAACGCTACGGAAAGAGTGGGGTGGTTGAGGGGGGGACCCGGAGTCTATGGTGGGTATGAAATATGTGAATAGGCGGGTTCGGAGAACCCTTGCCTAAATTCACTACGTTCAATTGACCACGGTCAGTCAAAATGACTATTTTGAATGGTAGGCAGAGTCAGACACCGATAGGTGGCGGGTTTTCCGAGCAAACAGAAAAGTGATGAAAAGTCTTTTCCCAGTCCGGGATGAAACACTCTACAAAAGTCACTCAACACCCTAGTTAAGACCCAAAAAAGGGTGGTGTCTTACCTTGCCTGTGCTGTCCCCGGAGCAAGAAGCCAAAATGCTGCTACAGTGACAGGGTTCGATGTACCCGAGAAAGCCAGACCCCAACCACTCTTAGGTGGTAGTTGATAAAGACGTTCTGCAGAAGCCTGACGCTAGCACAAGCAAGTTAGCAATCGCACAGACCTCGTGCGCTCGTACTTGGTGTCTCTGCGAGCTGTGTCGAGGAAGTTAAGGGATTATAGACCTCTAATACAGTCGCAGTAAACCACCTGGTTATGGAAGTTGGGGAGGCCGGCCTATCCTTTAGCACAACTTGATTGTCCATAACGGCGGTACATCATCCGAGAAGGACAATGCCCTCAGCTCTGGTCGACGCCTACCTGAGGCAAGGGCCAGTAGGAAGACTATTTTCCATGTCAAAAATTTGAGTGGTGCTGATCGGAGAGGCTCAAAGGGCGGTCCTGCTTAGAGCAGACAACACAGCCGACAAGTCCCAGTTGGGTGGCTCCCTTGTATGGGGTCATAGAGTCTGGAAAGCAGTAAATAGTCTCCTAATAATAGGACAATCGGCTAGTCTTGTTCCCGTACGTTTTGAGTGGTGGGGGACAAGGCCAACCTGTAGCCAACGATCACTGCGTAGGACAATTCTGCTTCGTCAAACAGGTGGACGAAGGAGCCTGCTACCTGACCAATAGAGGGATGGTATGGATCAATCTCCCTTTCGCTACACTAACCAGTGTATGCACGCAACCTAGAAATGTAGACCGCGTTGGTGGAATCCCTGTTCGCTCTGACCAGGACGTTGGCAGCCCGCTGAGATAAGGCTTTCGTATGTGCAGGTCTACTGAGAGCCTCTATACCTGCTGGGCTCGTTTGTAGTGCGCCGTCTGGTTGGAATGGCAGGTCCGGTAAGTTCGGAAACACTGCTGGTGTTTCGACTAGCATTTCTAACAGAAGTGGAAACTAGGCCTTGCTTGGCCAATTGGGTGCGACCAATGATAATATGCAGGTGTGCACCTGTCGAAGTTTTCTCCGGTGCCCGGTGAACTAGCGGGAAGTGGGTCCACGGGGTTAGCAAAGCGACACTGGCCCAGGCTCACCACTTTATCCGATTTGTTTACTGGATGCGCTACCTTGCTGTGACGCAGTCAGTCTCAGCGATTTTGATGGCTCTGAAAGAAAATCTCAGGCCTCAGAACTCCAGTGAAAAACAGACACCTTGACGCAAAAACCCCAAACCCCGCATGCAGCTATGACAAAGTATCTCGGATGTGGGTTCTATACTGGTAAATTC